CAAAGCTATGGATGACACAGCTTTGGAGAAGTCCTGAACCAAAGCAGAGCTCGTGATGCAAAGGCAGGAGGTCCACCACCTGAAATGCTGCCGACATGGGCACAATCAACATCAGCATCACCCTTGTCAGTATCCGACTCAATGGATGCTCTTGGGTTGGTACTGGAGTCAATGACATAGGACCTCTCAAATCCCTATCTTGCACTGGGAAGCGGCTGAACACGAGCAGTGGCCATCGTTCCTGGAGGAGTAAGAAGAGTCTCCTGGAGACCTAGCACAGTCACAATTGCTCTTGCGAGACCTTTTCTTTGGTGTGTTCAAAGGAGAGAGGCTTCTATGCCTCTTGGAGAAGCAGTGGCTCTGTAGCTCGCTGAGGTTGAGGGTGGCCTCTGAGCTGACACAGGCCTTGGTACTAAAAGAGGCCTCATGGCCTGCTGGAAGTGTTGTGTCAGATGAAGGTCTCTAGCCACCTGATTCCATTGTGTGAACAATTCACAAATCGAAAACTGCTCTTTGGTGTGAGTGTTGCCCAAGCAAAGCAATCACCTTGTATGAGGGATCACCCTACCACATGGACAGACAATTCTATGCAATGCAACTCAGCCAAAGGATGAGGAACTGTGAGGTTAAGAAACATGTAGCGTTCCCATTCAAGCCATGGATGGATAAGAAGGCAATATGTGTGTGTGTGTGTGTCTGTGTGTGTCTGTCTGTCTGTCTGTGTGTGTGTGTGTGTGTGTGTGTGTGCGTGCGCGTACGTACGGGGAGGTTAGGGGGTTGAAAGGCAGTGCCGTCTCATATAGCATGGGGAGGAGCTATGACAACAAGGTGCAAGTGCTGCCCCCTTTTGCTACTGCCAGGAAAAATTCTCCAGCGCTTGTGTGCTAGGAACACACTCTTAAGGGAATACATTGGTGCAGCTATGGTGCAGAACCACCAGTCTGCACCATAAACTGGAACATTCACCACTGTGCTTCTGCAATATTTATCAGTGTTAGGAGAGAAAGCCTTCATTTTCCGAAGGCTTTATGTGGGCTTCAGAGAAAAGTTTCTCTCAATAAATGTTGCCATTTTCTACTTAAAACTTTTCTACTTATTTTTAGAGATGAAATAATCATATTTTTTGAGTAAGCAAACAAAATCTTAAGAAAATAAAGCTTAGCTAATACTACTAAGTTAACTTGTACATGGTTTAAGTAGTCTGGATTGTTATGTTGCTGACTCTATGCCTCCTCTTAATGACATCCAACATTCCTGTTTCTCGAGACACAAACACTCAACATGAAGCAAGATAATTTTATTTTACAAATTTTCATAAGACGACTTTGTATCAGTCACTCAAAAAGGCTCAAGTCCAAAAACAGGTCCAACACAACCTGGCTTCAGAGGCACGAAATCTGTACAATCAGTTCAATGTGTTCCAAGCAGCTGAACAATTCAGCCTTACCTCATGCTGGGAATTGCATGGTAACCCAGTCTGAACTCCAGTCTGTCTTTATCCAGGCACTGTTGGACCACCTTCTCCCCAACAGCATGCATGTGTTCTAGCAGTTCAAGATGCTGTTTTGTTACAGATTTTAGACTGGAGATGGAGTCCCAGGGTAAGATTAGCCAGTGATAACGAGCTTTGGGATATTTATCCTTAATGACCACAACCCTTTCATCTTTGTAAACCTAATAGAGAGCAGGGTGGATAAAAATAATTAATTTTTATTTTGCTCAGATTTTATTTTTTAAATCTATAAAAATTCTAACACTTCTCATTTAAAAATGACAGTTACAATTCAATCTCATCACAAACATGCTACATGGACACTTGCAGTCTCATAAGAATGAATGAATGGCTCTAGTCTGCCTAACTACCAGCTCTTGTTTCTTGAATGTTGTGGGCTTTCCATTTCTGTCTCAGCACATTGGGTTCCCTGGATAGGAAAGGGAAATGTGTCAAGTGTAGGCAGGGCAAGCAGATGAGGCAGGGCCTAGCTACAATAATGAAATAGCATAAGGAAAACTGCTTATTGGGACAAAATAATGTGGATGAAGATGTGGATACAGCTAAGAACAATATGGATCATCTGGTTCGTAACTGAAATAATTAACTTTGCAATGCATCATTCTTCAAGACTCTCTCTGGGTATGTCTACACTAGCCCGCTAGTTCGAACTTGCGGGGTAATGTAGGCATACCGAACGTGCAAATGAAGCCCGGGATTTGAATTTCCCGGGCTTCATTTGCATAAGCGGGGAGCTGCCATTTTTAAATCCCCGCTGGTTCGAACCCCGTGTAGCGCGGTACACCTCGCGGAACGAGTATATTCCACCTCGTGGAATCCTAGTCCGAACTACCTAGTTCGAGCCGCGCTACACGGGGTTCGAACCAGCGGGGATTTAAAAATGGCAGCTCCCCGCTTATGCAAAGGAAGCCCGGGAAATTCAAATCCCGGGCTTCATTTGCACGTTCGGTATGCCTACATTACCCCGCAAGTTCGAACTAGCGGGGGAGTGTAGACATACCCTCTGTCTTTTAGTATAAGTGTGATTTAATAAGGAAAATCTTAAGCTGGCTGTTTTGTCTGCTGTTGCTAGAAAAAGAAGTTTAGCTCAGCTAACCCTTATTGCTTATTTAATTAATTAAATAGGTTTAGAATCTATCATCCAAGTATATGGGTCAAAAAACTGTATTAAAATAATTCGAGAGTTGCCCGTTGCCACTGAATGTCATTTTCTTACTTTATACTAGCAAATTTATCCTGCATTACTCGGATTTTTTTTTAAAGGAAAATGTACATGTTTTATTAAAATGTTTGTTTTTTTAAAAAACAGTGCTATTTTTATGAATTTTAATAATTTTTTAAAACAGGAATTTCATCAAGTGTATTTTTTTCCTTCACCCTTACAAACTCTATCATTTGCAATGTTTTAACGAAATAAGGCTGTAGTCAATTTGGTTTTCATTAACATTGTCTTCTAGTTTTCAAACCTAAAGTATTAATTTAGCTGTGCCAAAACAGAGCAATACTCCAAATTTCTGTTTTATCTTTTTTCTGTAATGTTTATTGAGAAGCAATTCTATTCCAGGTTCATGCTATTTTTCTGGCTCATCTTAGTTCAGTCTCTTTCAACATTTGTTCAGTTATATCAATTTTGAGAACTGTACTTGATTTGGTGATTCACTCTTTTTTCCATTTGATGAGAAGCAATCCCATTCCAAGCACATCCTGTTTCCTTAGCACAGCTAAACCCTCACATTGTTTAAGTTATGTTAAGAGGAAGCTGTATACCAAATGTGGTGGCCCTAGCTCTTACCATTAAGGAGGAATTCTTGATCAAACAAATTCTCTCAGTATATATAGTAGATTACACAATACACACCCCTTATTTTGGAACATCATGGTTACAAACCATAAGGGTGATTCCATAAGTCTATTCCCTATTTTACTTCAGCATAACTCATCTTCCCCAAGGAAACCCCATCCTATACTTTGTTTTCTCAAAAAACAATGAGTTCAATGGCGCTTATTCCAACATTAAGTGCACTCTTAACACTGTCAGTCTTAGCTTTTTTGGTAATTTGGAATGGGATGTGTATCCTTGCTGAAAAAAGCCAATAATTAACTTAATAATAGAGTCAAAATCACTTCTGAATTTTGTTTCAGGATCCCATTGAAGAGTAAGTTACTTAGGCTATCTACAACTTCAAAGTCATCTGTTTTAGCAGTAGCGCTGCAACTAAACATAGTTTAGCCATATTTCAGACAAACTATCACTAGAAGCAGATTTCAATCATCCAGTAAAACCAACACCATGCACGCGTTTGTAGCAGGAGCCAGCAAACACCAACAAGACAGCTTACGTTAAAAGATGTGCAGTGCATTTATGCCACAGGCTGATATACATACACATTTGATAATTTTAATATGCACTTGGCTCAATAGTATTCTCAATGAGAATTGGTAAATTACTATAAGTATAGGGTGTGCCATTCCAACCTGCATTTTTGGGTCTTGCATGGAGATTTTCAGACCTTGACTCCAATGTCCTAAGTGTTCCTAGAGTATAAAAATATTAGGCACTTTCAGAGAAAGTTAACACACATCTAATGATATTTAAGTAGAGTCCAACATCTTCAATAATTATAACTCCAATATTATTTTATTGATACTATTTAACACAGATATGCATTTGTATTTTCTTTTTTCAAGAACAAGGAAACTACTTTTAAAAAACTTAAAAATAAGTTACGTTTGTAAAGTAAAACACTTAAAAGTTGGGAAGTGACAGAATTAGAGTCACCCACGCAATCTTGACTTAGCCCTCTTATACATCTGCATTACAGCACAAGTCTTAATGATATGATTACAGACTATTTTTTCTAAAGGATCCTGAATCATTCAATGCACAACCTAGATGTTGCTCTGGGAACTTTTTTTTCCATCTTTGTCTTTCAGCAGGTGGGCTTAAGCCTTACTCACGGCTGTGGTAAGATTAGACCTAAAACATAAGCCCACGCAGCACAGGTCTGGTCTAAGGCCCAGCTAACAATGGACAAAACATGGCTAACAAAAAGTAAAGCTAAGCTGTGAGCAAGAGGCAGGCCCCTGCTCACAGAACTTGGCACAAACAGGGCTCAGAGTGCAAAACACATAGTAATTGGTAATAGGTACTGTAAAACAGTAAATGGTACTGGTCATAACTTGAAAACTCGTGGTACCACCAGCTCATAAAAAAAGACCTTGGTACCCACACGCCCCACACACACAGACTCAGTTTTAGAAAGGGTCTACATTGACAGCATGATGGATAGAGATGATCTAATCAAACCATGAGGTACAGGGTGATGGGTGGTATCTAAGAAGTGTCAGAGGGTGGCAACCTGATATGTCAGGAGTGATGTGTACTTGTTTGTACCTGTATATAAACTGGTATCTTGTGGAGATAGTCTTTGAATGACGTAGGGGGCAGAGAGACCACCCACTAATTGATTCATTCCATTATTACAAATTACATATACGAATAGTGGTTCAGTAGAGTCTACTGACAAATATTACTGTACTTCGCTTAACAATAAACCTGGCCTGGCACCTTTGATCCTTACCTGATTTGTGCTCTTTGGGGGCTCTCTTGAAGTCTGCTGGATTAATCAACATGTAAATCAACATGACACATGTGACTGAGCACACACACAAGCAGCCTTCTGGTTATCATCATCGAGTGGGCCAGAGACCTGTCAGGAACTCATCGGGAGGACCCCACCTGACTGACGACTGCCACCATCCAACCCCTGTACTAAATGCAATGCTATTATTTTCTTTTCTATCTCATCCATCGCCATAACATCTTAACCTTACAGCCATTAATACATTTATTTTCAACAGCAATATGAGCCAGTGTTGATGTGTTGTGTGTGTGTTTTTTTAAAGAGATGGTGCTCAGGAACTCACATCTTAAACAAATGTTAGCAAAAACCAAACCCATAAGAACAGCCATAAAGGGTCAGACCAAAGGTGTCTCTAGCCCAGTATTCTGTCTTCTGACAGTGACCCCAAAGACAATGAACAGAACAGGGAATCATCAAGTACTCTATCCCCTGTCGCCCCTTTCTGTTTGTCAGAAGGTAGGGACACTCTTCCTACCCATCCTGGCTAATAGCCATTAATAAACTTATCCTTCACAGATTTAGCTAGGGTTTTTTCCAATCCTACTAGTCTTGGCCTTCACGTCGTTGTTTGGCAAGGATTTCCACAGACTGACTGTGTTGCATGAAGTACTTCCATTTGTTGGTTTTAAACCTGCTACCTATTAATTTTATTTGGTGACTCCTAACCCCTGTGTTCTGGGAAGGAGTACATAACTTTATTTACTTTCTCTACACCAGTCATGATTTCATAGACCTCTATCACATTCCACCCCTTTTAGTCGTCTCTTCTCTAAGATGAAAAGTCTCAGTTTTATTAATCTCTCTGGATACGTTTACACTTGCACCCTCTTTCGAGTGAGGGATGCAAATGAAGCTGGGATTTAAATATCCTGTGCTTCATTTGCATATTCACGTTATGGCACTATTTCAAAATAACAGATGCTGTTAAGACACAGTTATTTAGAGAGAAAACCCTTCTCTCGAAATAACTGGTAAACCTCATTGTATGAGGAATAAGGGTTATTTCGAGAGAAGGGTTTTCTCTTGAAATAACCGTGTCTTAACAGCATCTGTTATTTTGAAATAGCGCCATAACACAAATATGCAAATGAAGCACGGGATATTTAAATCCCAGCTTCATTTGCAATTTCAAATGTCTTCATTGGCATCCCTCTCTTGAAAGAGAGTGTAAGTGTAGACAAACCCTCTCCTTATAGGGCAGCTATTCCAAACCTCTAAGTTTTATTGTCCTTCTCTGAACTTTTTCCAATGCTAAAATATCTTTTTTGAGATCAGGTGACCACATCTGACACAGTATGCAAGATGTAGGAATACCATGGATTTATATAGAGGCAATAAGATATTCTGTCTTATTCCAGTCCTAGTATTCTATGATTCTCTCTTTCTTAGTAATTCCCAAAAATCTGTTTTCTTTTTTTACTGCTGCTGCATATAGAGTGGATATTTTCAGAGAACTATCCATGACTCCAAGATCTCTCTCTTGAAAGTGGTAACAGCTAATTTAATTCCCATAATTTTTATATACAATTTGGATTAGGTTTTCCAATATGCATTGCTTTGCATTTATCAACACTTGTGAGTTTACTTTTAACTCTGGGTTTCTCAATGATTGGATGTCCAACTTAAGATGCTTAGGGCCTGATTTTTTAGAATATGTAGCTTTTTATATATCTATAAATCACAGACATTAATAACTGAGCCCTTCCAGCCCCCTTTTGAGAAAGGGTAGCAGTGCTTAGACATCTCTCTCATACATGAAGAAACTGAAAAAGGCAAAATGACTAGCTCAAAGCCACACAGTTAATGAGTATTAGGGATGTTAAAATGTGTCTACTTAATTAAACGTGTAATCGCTGAAATTTTCAGCAGTTGCACATGGGGGAGGAAGGGTGGCTCCCCAGGAGCCAGGGCATACAGGGTGCTGGCTTTTAAGCTGGCTCTCTGCACACAGTAGCTTCTACCTTGCCCCTCCCCACGCTGCTGCCTCTGATACATAGGCAGTAACACAGGGGGAAAGGCAGCTAGTTACCCACGCATATCGGGAGTCCGCACGTAGCTATGACGGTTAATCAATGAGTTAATTATGTATACAGTTACCCTTTTACATCCCTAATGAGTATCAGAGCCAGGATTAGAACACAGGAGTCTCTGTCTCCCAGCTCTGTGTGCCTGCCTGCAGAGCACAAGGCATAACTGCCAGAGGTGCTGAGCATTCGCTGATATCAGCTGTATCCGCAAGTGCTTCAATCAAAGGAGAAAGGGGTCGAGTGGCCGTAGGTTCTTTAAGTATGAAGCCCAGAAACTCTTATAGAACACTAGGACAGGAAGGGACTTTGGGAAGTCATTGAGAGGCATCCCAAAATTATGTTAGCTTTATTTGCAACATTGTCACACTGTTGACTCATATTTAACTTGTGGTCCACTATAATTCCTAGATCCCTTTCTGCAGTACTCCTTCCTAGACAGTCGTTTCCCATTCTGTATGTATGAAACTGATTGTTCCTTCCTAAATGGAGTGCTTTGCATTTGTCCTTATTAAACTTCATCCTGTTTACCTCTGACCATTTCTCTAGTTTGTTCAGATCTTTTTGAATTTTGACCCTATCCTCCAAAGCACTTGCAACGCCTCCAGCTTGGTATCATCTGCAGACTTAATAATTATACTGTCTATGCCATCATTGAAATTGTTGTTGAAGATATTGAACAGGAACCAGTTGGTTATCATGTCTCCTCTCAGTCTTCTCTTTTATAAACGACAACTTTCTGAGAGTGGTTATCCAGCCAGTTATGCACCCTCCTTATATTGGCCCCATCTAGATTGTATTTCCCTAGTTTATTAATACAAAGGTCATGCGAGACCATGTCAAACGCCTTACTAAAGTCTAGGTATACCATGTCCACCACTACTCCCTTATCCACAAGATTCGTTATCCTATCAAAGAAAGCTATCAGATTGGTTTGACATGATTTGTTCTTTATTTACTTCCTCCGTTATCTTCCCTGGCACAGACGTTAAACTGACTGATCTGTAGTTTCCTGGGTTGTTCTTATTTCCCTTTTTATAGGTGGGTACTAGATTTGCCCTTTTCCAGTCTTCTGGAATCTCTCCCACATGATTTTTCAAAGATGATAGCTAAAGGCTCAGATACCTCCTCAGTCAGCTCCTTAAGTATTCCAGGATGCATTTCATCAGGCCCTGGTGAATTGTTTTTCCTCTTAGTCTTGCTTCCCATGAGACCTTACCTACCAGCTCTCTGAGTTTGCTAAAATCTGACTTCCTGAAATCCACTGTCTCTATTTTGCTGTTCCCCCTTCTACCATTTCTTAGAACCATGAGCTTTCTAGCTTGTGCGTTTCTATTCTGAAATGCAACTGGGAAAAGGTCAGGGGATTTCCACTCTCTCAGGGCAAACCTCCTCTATTTTCTAGTAAAAAAATGATTTTCCTAGCTGCCAACCCTACAAACACACCATGAAATCAGATAAAGCTGAGCTCTCCTAGCTCACACCATCACCTACCACCAAAGGTTATGCAGATGAAACCAAACTCCTGATATCACAGTTGGCTGTAGGCAGCCCAATGCACCCACATGAAGCCTTACTGACTTCAATACAGGCCCATCCATGTAGATTGGACTGCAGGATTGAGGTCTTAGTTAGCAATGGTATGGCTGATATACAAGCCAGAAGGGAATTCATCTTGTGTTGGATTTCCCATGCCTCCAGGAGCGACGCCAGCAGAATGGATTTCTCCTCTACAGTCAGCTGACTGACTACACTGTGACTCAGTCTACATGGAAGGTGTTTTGATTTTCTCCCACAACTGCTGTAGCACCAGTGAAACCCTACCAGTGCTGGCAATGCAGGGCATGCGAGGGCAGAGCATTCTACTGCTTACCTTGTGGCTGGAAGAGCTGTCATGAGCAGAGGAGAAAGAATTACTGGTATTTTTTGGCATGCAGCTTGAACTGCCGTCTTGCAAGTCTAGTTGCTCCATTTTCATACTTTTTTCAGGGATGTTTTCCATGCAACTATTCCCAGAGTCTATGTACGACCGCTTGCTAGCTTTTGTCTTTCCTTCTGCTCCTGTGCCAGAGGCCCCTGTGTCTTCCAAGAATTGTACAGTGTAGGGATAACGTTTATTTACAAGATGTAGAACCTGTCCTGGCTTCAGCTTCACTTCTTCATCCTTGCCAATATCCACCAAATCAACACTGGCTGGGTTAACTCCCATCTTTGGATAGTCAGAAAATAAAGCACAATGCAGGAATTGGCATACAAGTATAGATCTCTAATTCAGACATACGAAAACCCAACTACCCGAAACTATCCTAGGGCATCCCTGTGCCTGCAATGCAGAAAGAGAAGAGTACATGACGTTTCCTTCACCTCTGCTCCACATACTGGCTCATTTTAATCATACACGAAACTTGGAGCTATAAATGTAGAGCCTCATCGTGCAACCATAACCTCGAGAGCAGAACCTGCACGGTCATGAAGCTCTAATGAGCCCAACAAAATCCCACATGAGAACAGGATGTGTGTTACCAGAGTTGGTTGGGACCTATACCACCACGAAGCCCTGTACCCATATGGCACCACACTAGTCTGTTTTGGGACCCCTCCAAAGCATGTACCCATCTAGGATCTACTACTCTATACCCAGTACCCATGTAGGATCCCAGCTGCCCTGCTCTGCAGAGAGAGGGTAAAGGGACAGCAGGACATCCTGACACATCAGCACCCCCTCCTGCCCTCTGAACTCCTCGATCCCAGCTGAAGCCTGAGAAACTTAGCTTTACTGGTTAACGGGCTGGGAGCTGCGCAGTTAACACTCAGAAAGGGAGGGATGTAAGCAGTATGCCTCCAAAGCAGCTTGCAGGGATGGGGATCCCTCTTGGGGATGCCAGAAGTCAATGTCCATGCCCCCCCCATACACACACCTGAGCACCTCCTGTACTCAATCCCTGCTGCAAGTCTCCTTCTCGATCATGCCCCACAGCCTCTTCCATGCCCCAGCCAGCCCTGCACCAACCACACTATAAAGCAGACTCTTTGTGCAGATCAGAAATGCCAGTTTATTGAGCTTACCAGTTGGTGAAGTGCTGGATAAAAGGCTTTTATTGTAATACCAGATGTCTATAAACAAACATACCTGTTTGATCTTGACATACCCTTTATTACAGTCCGCTTTTAGCTGCACTGAAAAGAAAAAGCAAAACATCAGAGAATTACTTAAACATAGGAATCAGACTTCTGGAGTACATTGGCACAGCTCTACTGAAGCCAAATCCAACTGGGGATCTGGCCCCCAATGTTGGTTCCTACTAGCTATCATTAACTTTGTGAAAAAAAGAAATATAGGTCCTAACAAAGCACTGGTTCAGTTTATTCGTGGGCATTTTTTTCAATTAAAACATAGTACAGAGACCTCCACTAACAAAGCACTGGTTCAGTTTATTCGTGGTCATTTTTTTCAATTAAAAAAATAGTACAGAGACCTCCCCACACATCTATTTAAAAGCTTTGACAGGCAAATTAAAACTGTATGCAGCTTAAATATAGCAGGCTTTGTTCTGAATTCACGTATTTTCTCAAATCTCAGATTTCCATATTAAAATTGCATCAATGTGTGTTGCTAACGTTCTCCTCTCTAGACAAAATCATCAGTCTCTATGCAGCAGATTGACAAAAATTATGACTTAATGAGTGCTCTGCCTTATCAATGGAATTTCCATTAATGTATATGAAAAAGGCATCTATATATGGCTTATAAAACAAATTCCCATTCAGTTTTTTGAGTCACACCTATATGATTGTTGGAACTGAAAGTTGTATTCTTTTTATATTGGTATTTTAGGTTTAGTAATGTAAGGTAATATATAATCATATTTAAGATTGTAGTAAGTCAAATCCTTTCATAAAGTATATATCTCCTATATTTCCCTGTTCTAAGTAAGTTTTAGTAAGTAAAGAGACAGGATCTCATATTGAGTCTGTGTTAATGAAGATTATAAGAATGCTAAAGGCTGAGGCCTTAATTGCTTGATTTACGACGCCTCTTTGCCTTACCAGTACAGATGTTGATATGTCGCCTAGCCTTGAAAGTCCTTGTAACATTGCTTGTGTGTGTGTGAAAGGGAATGAATGTGTTGAGATAAGGTGCAAAGTTATTTCTCACAACCAGATGGCCAAAAAGGAGGTTAAGCATGGGCGAAGACTAGACGGCCTGGCGTCAAAAGATACGTACCCCTACTCACAAGACTATTGGGTATTGGCAGATTGACGAACCTTGAAGCGGAGTGGGCACCCCCAAAAGATGACTGATTACAGGATGAGCCTTGGGAGACGTTTGGGAACGACTGACATCAACAAGATAACATTCCGGATTTACAGGATGAGCCTTGGGAGACGTTTGGGAACGACTGACATCAACAAGATAGCATTCCGGACACAAGCTGACAGACCGGGATCCATGGATTTCAACAGAGAAAAGGATTATAAAAGCAGGGTGCTTTGCTATGGAATTTTGGGTTTGTCTTGCCAACAAATCCAGAGGAGCATTGGATCGATAGACTGACAAATGTCCTGCTCCTTGCCAACAAATCCAGAGGAGCATTGGATCGATCGACTGACAAATGTCCTGCTCTCTCCTGTGTTCAATCTAGCTGGCCACTAGATTGACACAGACTCTGGTCTGGTAACTATGACATCATCTGGCGAGATGTTTGCATGTATGTGTGACTGAAAAGCATATGCAACTGTTGTATTCTCAATAAATGCGGCGTACTGCCTTTTCCCCTATAAAAGAGCTCGTGTGCTTCATTTAAGCAGATAACAATTCCAGTCATAAGCAACTGATCTGTTTGAACAAAGGAGAAGATAAATGATAATGGACGCTCTAGAAGACTCCCAAGAAATTTTACAGATTTTTGAAAGAAATAAGGTTGCCTGTCTACCTGTTCAACAGCACTTATTTAAAAACATTGCTAGCACTTGATATTTTATTGTAGTATTAGAGAATACGATACACACAATCATACCCTTGCTAAAGAATCTTTGATAGAGCTCTACAGAATTTAACAAAGACCGTTACCCTTGATATAAAATGCATATAGTTACTTTTCAATTTATGAAATGCACCTAGTGGCACTTCTAGGAAGATGAACAATATATAAAAATCGCATTCACTGGAATGTTGAACTCCAAACTCTCTGCACCATCTATCAGTTCTAGAAGAATGTACAGGTTTTCTACAGTCCGTGTAGGGGACTATCTTATAAAGGTCAATTTCTACTCTTCCTGGTGTCAGGAAGACACCTTCCATCACGCCTCTCAACTGTAGAGCCTTTTGTGAGCTCTTATAAAGAGAACAGAATAGCTGTAACAGGTAAGTAGCTTGAATAGTCTTAGAGAGTAAAGATCTTCTGCAGCTTCAAAGACCCACTAGAATGGAGCCTCAAGACTGATGACTGCACAGCAAGCCACCGAGGTGCCTGCTTTGGTTTTCATGGAGGAGCTTTAGGTCCCAAACTGTGGTCAAGAGCTCCATTCAGGTTGTCCATGAATAGTCCCTTCTGAAAATGCATGCCTGGGCAGCTGCACACAAGAAAATGAAGGGCTGCCCACCTAATTAGTGGCTCCTAGGCATGGCTCCACTCATTAGATGGCTAGTCCCTGTAGAAGACACACATGTAAGATGAGGTGATGGCTTTGGGGGTGAAAAGGGAATACATGGTAGGGGGCGGTGGGATAAGAGGAGATACTCGGTGGGGAGACAGTGGGGCGAGAAGAGGGAGCGGGGGGAATCTAGGATGTGCAGGGGGGCGTGTCGACCAGAGAAAAAGGTGACTTTCCCCAGTTGCAGGGCTATGACTGCCAGTGCGAGACTGCCCTCTTTCCCAGCCTGAGCTCTGTAGCTGCTATGGCAGGGGGCAGACCCTTACGATACTAAAATATGAATTGTGTGTTTTTAGTTGTAGAACAAAAAAGTTAAATTGTTAGTTCTCTTTCCTACAGTGATTTTATCCAAAGCATTTTATAATAGTTCGTATACTTTCCAAATGTTTTTTGTACTATCAGCTAAGTGGTCCATCAAGACCCACAGCATTTTTCAACTGATCTGCAACAAAAGTTTGAGAATCTCGTGTAGAGTTTACAGCCTGTCACAATAATGTAACCAAGCAGAATAACCATGTGAGATTCATTTCAGTTTCAGTCTGACATAAAATTATCACAGAACTTCTATACCTGTACCTCACAGGTTTCTTACAACTCTTTTGTAGGGCTGTATAGTGATTAATAAAAAAAGTCAATTAACTGCACAATTAAAAAGTTAATCACGCTGTTAAACAATAACAGAATACCACTTATTTAAATATTTTGTATGTTTTCTACATGTTCAAATATGTAGATTTGTATTAGACCAGAATAAAGTATGCAGTGCTCACTTTATTTTGATTATAAATATTTGCACTCCAAAAATCGTACTTTTAATTTATACATTATAAGTAATGGAATGGAATCTCTGTCATGAAAGTTGAATCTAGAAATGTAGAATTATGTACAAAAAACTGCATTAAAAAAAAAGTAACGTAAAACTTTAGAGTCTACACGTTCGGCCAGTTGCTCAAACAAGTTTGTTTACATTTTCAGGAGATAATGCTGCCCACTTCTTTATACATCACCTGAAAGAGAGAACAGGCATGTTTGCATGGCACTGTCATAGCTGGCGTCACAAGATATTTACAGATGTACTAAAGATGTGTATGTCCCTTGATGCTCAACAATCATTCCAAAGAACATGTATCCATGCTGATGACAGGGTCTGCTCAGTAACAATGCAAAGCGGTGTGGGCCGATGCGTGTTCTTTTTCATCCACTGTGTCAGGTGACACCAACAAAAGGTTGATTTTCTTGGTCAATGGTTTCAGTTCTGTAGTTTCCACATCAGATTGCTGATCTTAAGACTTCCAAAAGCATACTCCACACCTTGTCCCTCTCAGATTTTGGAAGCTATTTCAATTTCCTAAACCTTAAATCAAGTACTGTAACTATCTTTAGAAATCTCACACTGGTACCTTCTTTGTATTCTGTCAGATCTATGGTGAAAGTGTTCTTAAAATGAACAACATATGTGGGATCATAACATGAGACTGCTATAACATCTGCTATGTATTTGAGAGAATCTGTCTGATCAAGAACTCCTCCTAAACGGTCAGAGATAGGACCACCAAATTTGGTATGCAGTTCCCTCTTAGCATAACTTATGTAACCAAGGTGAGGGTTTAGTTGTGCCAGGAAAATGGGATGTACTGGGAATGGGACTGTTTCTCATAAAATGGAAAGGGAGGGGCTCTGCTATATAAGGACCACATGAGGACAGCAGGGGCTATGACATGGAAAACAGGGACAGTTGTACTATGTGATGACCATGGGGTGGGGCAGCAATGGGCCAGAGAAGGGGACCAGGACACTTCTTATTCCATTGGGGCAGCAGCGTACAAAGGTGAACAAATGGACAGCTATGCTACTATATATCTGAGAATGTATGGAATCCTAGAACTGGAAGGGACCTCAAGGGGTCATGGAGTTGAATCCTTTGCCATCATGACAGGATCAAGCACTGTCAGATCATCCCTGACAACTGTCTGTCTAACCTGCTCCAGAGATGGAGATTCCATAACCTCTCTAGGCAATTTATTCCAGTGTTCAACCACTCTGACAATTAGGAAGTTTTTCCTAATGTCCAACCTAAACGTCCCTTGCTGCAGTGTAATCCCATTGCTTCTTGTCCTATCATCAGAGGCCAAGGAGAACAATTTTTCTCCCTCCTCCTTTTAACACCCTTTTAGATATTTGAAAACTGCTCTCATGTCCCTGCTCAGTCTTTTATAAACTAAACAAGCCCAATTCTTTCAGCCTTCCCTCATAGCTCATGTTTTCTATACCTTTAATAATTTATGTTGCTATTCTCTGGACCTTCTCCAATTTCTCACATCTTTCCTGAAATGCGGTGCCCAGAACTGGACACAATAATCCAATTGAGGCCTAATCAGCACAGAGTAGAGTGGAAGAATAACTTGTCATGTCTTGCTCACAACACTCCTATTAATACATCTCAGAATCATGTTTGCTTTTTTTGTAACAGTGTCGCACTACTGACTCATGTTTAACTTGTCATCCACTATGACCCCTAAATCCCTTTCAGCAGTACTCCTTCCTAGACAGTCACTTCCCATTCTTTGTGCGCGAAACTGATTATTCCTTCCTAAGTGGAGCACTTTGTATTTGTCCTTATTAAACTTCATCCTGTTTACCTCAGACCATTTCTCCAGTTTGCCCCGATCATTTTCAGTTTTGACCCTATCCTCCGCTTGCAGCCCCTCCCATCTTGATATCATCTTCAAACTTAATAATCATACTCTCTATGCCATCATCTAAATCATTGAAGATACTGCACAGGAACCAGTTGCGAAACAGATGCATGCGGAACCCCACTTGTTCTGCCCTTCCAGCATGACTGTGAACTGTTAATAACTACTCTCGGAGAATGGTTATCCAGCCAGTTATGCACCCACCTTATAATAGTCCCATCTAGGTTGTATTTTTGTAGTTTAATGATAAGGTGGTCATGTGAGACCATGTCAAATGCCTTTCTAAAGTCTAGGTATACCACGTCCACCGCTTCTCCCTTATCTACAAGGCTTGATATTCTATCAAAGAAAGCAGTCAGATTGATTTGACATGATTTGTTCTTTATAAATCCATGCTGGCTGTTACCAATCCCCTTGTCTGTCTGCCCCCCAGCCAGGAGACATGCAGTCCTCCCCTAGCTATACTCACTGCAGCTGCAATGGAGAGGCGCTTCTCACCTGGCCCAAGCTGAAGTGCTGAGAGAGGGGTGGAATAATCCTGTCCTCGTGGCAGCTTGCATACTGAATCCCTCATCTGCATCCCCACCACAAAGTAATGATTTCAATGAAGAAAAATAAATTTGACTTAAGGACCTGAGTAATGCTAGGTAAATCTTCTAATTAAATATATGGGAGAATGTAGGTAAAACAGAGCAGGAGGCATACAATTCTCCTCCAAGGAGTTCAGTCACAAACGTAATGAACACATTTTTTTTAAATGGGCATCATCAACAGGGAAACATGTCCTCTGGAATAGTAACCAAAGCATGAAGGGGCATACAAATGTTTAGCATAACTAGTTCTTAAATACCTTGCAATGCCAGCTACAACAGCAACATCTAGGGCTCAATGTTTTTTTGCTTTTTTTCAAAAAGAGCATCATCAGCATGGAAGCATATCCTCTGGAATGGTGGCTGAAGCATGAAGGGGAATACCAACTTTTCTGCATATCTGGCACATAAATACCTTTCAATTCTGGCTACAAAAGTGCCATGCAAACACTTCTTCTCACTTTCTGGTGACATCGTAAATAAGAAGCAGGCAGCATTACTCCCCATAAACATAAACAAACTTGTCTTAGCAGTTGGGTGAACAAGAAGCAGGACTGAATGGACTTGCAGTCTTTCGCTGTTTTGTTTTTGAGTACTGTTATGTAACAACAACAACAACAACAACAAAAATCTCCATTTGTAAATTGCCCTTTCATGCTATAGAGATTACAAGTACCGCGGTACATCAATGTGCATTGAAAAATACTATTTTTATAGTGCAAATATTTGTAAACCAAAGTAATATAAAGTGAGCATTTTACACTATTTTTGCTGTGACTGAAGTCAATATATTTGAAAACACAGAAAAACGTCAAAACTATTTAATAAATTTCTATTGGAGTTCTATTGTTTAGCAGTGGGATTAAAACTGCATTTTATCATGATTTTTGAGTTAGTCACAAGTTAATTGCCATTAATTGTCAGCCCTAGTTTTTTAACTACTTAGCTGTTTTCAAACTAGCAGTTGTGTGTACACTGAAGCTATTACTTACCCTGTTGCCTTGAACATTTCTTGTCTGTTATTTCGGTCTCTGGGCCACGCCCTATTACTGTTGTTTCTAAGTGTGGCAATTTGATTCGCTGACAGCATTTATCTTTCCTCACTAGCCAGCACACCCGCATGATTGCACTGTGAAATAAATAAGAGGACATAGACAGGATTACAATCAGATAGGGATCAAGATCCCGTGGCTGACTACAGGATTGGGCATCAGAAGTTCTTGTTTCTATTGCCAGTCCACTAATCGGCTGCATGACGTTGGCTATTTTGCTTAACGTTGCTGTGACTTATTATCCTTCTCTACAAAATGGTACTAATAAGAGATATTTCAAGGCCTTATTTAATTATCTATGTAGTGGTTTGATAGCATCTCCCACAGAAAGATGCTGAAATGCAAAATATTTACTATTATACACACCAAGTTTACATTATTCAGTACATATTTGTTTATCATGTTGAGCGATACCCATATTTCTCCAATCAGCTGATACAACATTAGGCTGCCTATATATATTGTTTTTATAGACACATCACATTCATTTTTAGATTTGCCACTGTGGCCACTTCTGTAAGTTCCAATAGCAAGTTTTATTCAGTAGGATTTTACTACACTATATATCACTTGTCCACCATAACCCCTACCTCCTTTTCAGAAAAATTGCCTTCTAGGATATAGTACACCATTCTACAGGGATAGCCTATATTTTTTGTTCCTAGATGTATACCGTCACATTTGGCTGCATTAAATGTTTTGTTTTAATGGACACAGCTTATCCAATGGTCCAGATGTTTCTGTATGAAAAACCTAGCCTTAGCATCATTTACTACTTTGTCAATATTGGTGTCATCTTCATATGTTACTAGCAGTGATTTTACATTTATTGGGAGAACAATGACAAAAGTATGCAATGGGATTGGTCCTAGTACTGATTCCTATAGAACACCATTTATTTCAGCAGTAAAAACACAGCTATATGGTGCACTGGGCTATTGTGTATGTTACTTAGGGATATTAAAATGCATTTATTTGTGTAAATGTGTATCCGCTGAAATTTTCAGCAGAATTTTTTTCAAGTTTGGGAGGAAGAGGGAGGTGGTGCTCGCGGGGAGATGGCTTTTCAGCTCACTCATTGCAAGTGCCAGCTCCTGTTCCCTCCCTCCTGCTGCCTCTGTTATGGGGATGGGGGGGAAGAGAGAGAGGGGAGCCAGCTTGACAAGAACCAATATGCGAAGGGAGCTGGCGTCAAAGCTGGTTCTCTGCATGCATCGGCTCCCATCTGCTCAGGAGCCAAGATGTGTGGAGATCTGGATTCCCATACATACCGGCTCCAGCCTGCTCCTCTACCCCCACACTGCTGCCTCTGCCACTGCAGAGCAGGCATGCGCACAGAGCTGTCTTAAAAGCTGGATCTCCCCACATACCAGCTCCTGCTTGCTCTGTGGGAGGCAGCAGCACGGGCAGGAGCAGGGAGCTCAGCAGCAGCTGATATGCCCCAATAGGCACCGTTTCCCACCTCTCCCACTTTTTGCTGCCTCTGATACAGAGATAGCAAGGGGAGGGGGAAGTATGTAGTTGTTAAGATTAACCGATAAGCCCAGGCCTATCAGTTATTCATGTAGATGACTACCCACTAACATCCGTAATGTTAATTTTGTTCTCTGCCACACAACACGAGACAGCAGCAGCATGGCTGCTTCCAAGTTATACCTTTAGTTTTACCAGTAAAACCTTCCAGGGGGACACTTACACCTTTACTGGCTTAATTTACGACATTAAGCTAAACTGACAAAACCCATCCTTATGCTAGAATGAGTCTGTGCAATCTAGGGATGTGACAAGTGGCCAGTTAACCAGTTACCTGGTAAGCATCACCCTTGCTGCATGATGCATACTGATGAACCAGTACCAGGGAGCAGCCGCCTTCTCACAGCTGGCACCACTGTACAGAGAGAAGGAGGGAGGAAGAGCCAGCCACTCCACTTGGGAAGGAGCAGTAAAAGCAGAAGTCGGTTCCCCTGTGCTTAGGACTACTAGTGGATCCAAGTTAATGAGTTAACTGGTAAAACCTAAGGTTTAACTGATTAACCGTGAGTTTACATCCCTAGTGCCAACAGGAGAAGTTATAAAAGGATAACTATGCCAGTTTAAATTCACACCATAACTTAAACTGCTATAGCTTACCAATGTAAGAAACATTTTTTAAAGCAGACTTAGTGATTCAGTGAAATTGGTGCAAACTTTTGGCTGGGCACTTCAAATGTGTTCTGACTGAAACGTGTTCCTTTTCAGTTTAACCTAGACTATATAACTTATAACTATGCCAAAGAAAGTGACAGAGTTGACCCATACAATGAAGGCCTTAATTAGAATGGTAATAGAAATGTAGCCGTGTTAGTCTGGGGTAGCTGAAGCAAAATGCAGGACAATGTAGCACTTTAAAGACTAACAAGATGGTTTATTAGATGATGAGCTTTCGTGGGCCAGACCCACTTCCTCAGATCAAATAGTGGAAGAAAGTAGTCACAACCGTATATACCAAAGGATACAATTAATGCAAGTTTCAAATATGAAAAGGACAAATCACATTGCAGAACAGGAGGGGGATGCGGTGGGGGGGAGGGGGAAGGAAGGTAAGTGTCTGTGAATTGATGATATTAGAGGTAGGGAGAGTGGGATGTTTGTGAGTTAATGGTATTAGAGGTGATAATTGGGGAAACTATCTTGGTAATGGGTGAGATAACAAACATTTGAACTAAGTCCTTGTTGAAAAGTGTCGAATTTTAACATGAATGACAGTTCAGAGGATTCCCTTTCAAGTGCAGATGTAAAAGGTCTTTGTAGCAGAATGCAGGTGGTCAAGTCATTGAGAGAGTGTCCTTTCTGGTTAAAATGGCAAGAAACTGTTTTCTCTTTGTGATCTTGTCTGATATCTGTTTTGTGGGCATTAATCCTTTGGCGAAGTGTCTGAGATGTTTGTCCAATGTACATAGCAGACGGACACTTTCGGCACACGATAGCATAGATTATATTTCTGGATGCGCAGGAATATGTGTTCTTGATCTTATAACTCACTTGGTTGGGTCCAATAATGGTATCAGCAGAATGAATATGTGGACAAAGCTGGCAACGGGGTTTGTTGCAAGGGAAGGTACCAGGGTTGGTATTAGTGTGGTATGTCCTGTGGTGGTTGGTAAGAATGATCTTGAGGTTAGGTGGTTGTCTATAGGAGACTATGGGTCTGTCTCCCAGAGCCTCTTTGAGTATGGTATCCTGTTCCAATATAGGCTGTAGTTTATTGATAATGTGTTGGACAGGTTTAAGTTGGGGGTTGTAGGTGATGACAAGTGGTGTTCTATTGTTGGTTTTCTTGGGTCTGTCTTGAAGTAGATGGTTTCTAGGTATTCGTCTGGCTCTTTCAATTTGCTTTTTTATTTCTCTGGGTGGGTAGTTGAGATTTATAAATGCTTGGTAGAGATCCTGAAGCTTCTGGTCTCTGTCAGTGGGGTTAGAGCAGATGCGGTTGTATCGAAGGGCTTGGCTATAGACGATGGATCGTGTGGTGTGTTCTGGATGGGAGCTGGATGCATGTAGGTAACTGTATGAGTCAGTGGGTTTTCTGTAGAGAGTGGTGTCTAATTTTCCATTGTTGATTTGTACGGTGGTGTCCAGGAAGTGGATCTCTCGTGTAGAATGGTCCAGGCTGAGGTTGATGGTGGGGTGTAGGTTGTTGAAATCTCTGTGGAATATCTCCAGTGTTTCTTGGCCATGTGTCCAGATCATAAAGATGTCATCGATGTACCGTAGGTAGAGGAGGGGTGAAAGGGGACGGGAGTTGAGGAAACGTTGTTCTAGGTCAGCCATAAAGATGTTAGCATACTGTGGGGCCATGCGTGTACCCATGGCTGTGCCGCTGATCTGGAGGTATAAGTTGTTCTCAAACCGGAAATAATTGTGGGTGAGAACAAAGTTACATAGGTCTGCTATCAGGTTGGCAGTAGTGTCCTCTGGGATAGTGTTTCTAATTGCTTGTAATCCGTCTTCATGTGGGATGTTGGTATATAGAGCTTCTACATCCATGGTGGCAAGGATGGTATTATTGGGGAGGTTATCGATGTTTTGTAGTTTCCTTAGGAAGTCAGTAGTGTCTCGGAGATAGCTGGGGGTATTGGTTACGAAGGGTTTGAGAAGAGTGTCTACATAGCTGGATAGACCAGTAGTGAGCGTGCCAATACCAGAGATGATGGGACGTCCGGGGTGCCCAGGTTTATGGATCTTGGGAAGTAGATAGAACAATCCTGGTCGGGGGTCAGAAGGTGATTCTGTGAGGATTTGTTCCCGAGTAGCTGTGGGGAGGCTTTTAAGGAGACAGTGTAGTTTCTTTTGGTAGTCCAAGGTGGGATCAGAGGGGAGAGGTTTGTAAAATGTGGTGTTCGAGAGTTGTCTGGTTGCCTCCTGGTTATAGTCGGCCTTATTCATAATGACCACAGCACCCCCTTTGTCAGCTGGTTTGATTACAATGTCCAGGTTGTTTTTGAGACTCTGGATGGCATGGTGTTCAGCGCGGCTAAGATTGTGTGTCGCTTGTTGTCGTTTGCGAATAATGTCAGTCTGTGCGTTGTTGCGGAAGCTGTGTATATAGAAATCCAGATTGTAATTCCGACCGTCAGGGGGAGTCCATATAGAATTATTTTTCCTTTGGTGTTGGTAGGGGGGATCTGGTAGGTCAGATTGATGTTCAGTGGTGGTTTGGAAATATTCTCGGAGACGGAGGCGGCGAAAAAAAGCCTCAAGGTCACCACAAAATTGTATCCAGTTTGTGGGGGACGTGGGGCAGAAAGAGAGACCCCGGGACAAGACAGACTCTTCTGCTGGATTGAGTTTGTAGCTGGAGAGGTTAACAATATTATCCGGTGGGTTGAGGCAGTTGCTGTTGTAGCCAGTGGTATGGAGCAGGTTAGAAAATTTATTGTCTTTTCTCTGTTGCAGGGAACAGAAGTGTGTATAGTAGATTTCTTGTCTGGTGGAACAAAAGTCTTGCAAGGTGTCAGTCGGTGTGGATGTTTGTCTTGAGATGAGACGATCTAAGTTAGAAATGTCATTCTTGATGGTTTTCTGTTTCTTGTATAAAATACTTATCAGGTGGTTTCTTAATTTCTTGGATAGTGTGAGGCAGAGTCTTTCACTGTAGTCAGTGAAGTATGTTGATCTTAGTGGATTGTTCACTTTCAGTCCTTTGGGTACGATGTCCATTTTCTTGCACTTGGATAGAAAGATGATGTCTGTCTGTATCTGTGCGAGTTTCTTCATATGGTTGATGGATTTCCATTCCAAACGGCTAAATGTAGTGGGGCTCCCGCAGGCCGGCGCCATGGTGAAGGAGACGACGTACTACGACGTGCTGGGGGTGAAGCCGGGCGCCACGCAGGAGGAGCTGAAGAAGGCCTATCGCAAGCTGGCGCTCAAGTACCACCCCGACAAGAACCCCAACGAGGGCGAGAAGGCAAAGGAGACGACGTACTACGACGTGCTGGGGGTGAAGCCGGGCGCCACGCAGGAGGAGCTGAAGAAGGCCTATCGCAAGCTGGCGCTCAAGTACCACCCCGACAAGAACCCCAACGAGGGCGAGAAGGCAAGTGGGGCCGGGCTCGCCGGGCACTGGCCCGGGGCTACCTCGTCCCTACGCCCAGCACTTACTCTGGTGTTTCTTGCAGTTCAAGCAGATCTCGCAAGCATACGAAGTGCTTTCTGATCCAAAGAAGAGAGACTTGTATGACAAAGGTGGTGAGCAGGCTATTAAAGAGGGTGGTACTGGCAGCAGTTTTGGGTCACCCATGGATATTTTTGATATGTTCTTTGGAGGAGGTGGAAGAATGCAGAGAGAGCGCAGAGGTAATTTCACTTTCTCTGGTACTGCCTAAGGGACTCTTTGCTGCTGAAGTATTTTCTTGTTAGTCACACATCCTGTAGTACCTAGTATAAGGCTATAGATACTTATGTGTTTAAGCTGCACCTTTTTACAAATAAGGCTTTTCATGCTATGTAGCAGTGTCTAAAATGATCATTACAATGATAAAACAATATCTAAAAAGGCACTGTTCTAAAACCAATGTTTTAAATGCTAGCATAGAGGAGATTAAGTTTTTAAATAAAAAGCTGTTTTAGTTAATATTCTATAACCAGGCATAGGGTTAAGGTTTGATTTTTGTGCCCTCTTTGCAGATGGTAATGAGCCGGGCTCTCAAATATTGGAAAAAAGTTTGCAGTATCTTTAAGCAAAGACCTTAGTACTAAGCTTTGCTTAATTAGTCACTGAAAAGGATTGACATATTGTAATTCTAAGTTAATTACTATTTTAAAATAAGTAATTATATTCTCTTTACAGGTAAAAATGTTGTTCATCAGTTGTCAGTATCTTTGGAAGACTTGTACAATGGTGCAACAAGAAAACTGGCTCTGCAAAAGAATGTGATCTGTGATAAATGTGAAGGTATGTTAATCAGTCTCTGTGGGATAGGCATGTTACAATCTAACTTTAATAAAAAGTAGTTCTTACTATAGTAATTCCTCACTTAACGTGTGTCCGCTTAACACATTTTTGCGATAGCACAATTTTGGGAACGTTTTTGAAGTACATGACCGTTCCCAGAATAACACTATTTCCCCAGCCGGCCTGTTGCCAGTGGCTGCGCAGGGCTTCCCCATCTTCCTGCAAAGCGGAGGAGGGTTCACTGCTCGCTGCGCCATTCCCGCTGACTACCCCTCGCTGGACACCTTGCGCCCTCCCCCTCCCCCCCGCGCTGCTTGCAGGCTGGCAGTTAGGGGTTTCCCCAGCTGGCCTATCACTGGTGGCTGCGCAGGGCTTCCCCATCTTCCTGCAAAGCGGAGGAGGGTTCACTGCTCGCTGCGCCATTCCCGCTGACTACCCCTCGCTGGACACCTTGCGCCCTCCCCCTCCCCCCCGCACTGCAGTGCTCCTCCCAGCAGACCCAGCACAGGGGCATACTTCCAACCCAGTCCCCTTCTCCTCTCCTCTTCCCCAGAGCCAAACACCTCCCCCTCCCTGCTGTAACCCAGTCCCCTTTCTCCCCAACCTTATATCCCGGACCCAACAGACACCACTGCTTGAACCGCAACCCCCACCTTTTCCATTATTTTCAATGGGAAAATTGACCCCACATAACACATTTTCACTTAACACCATCATTTTTTGAAACATATCTATAGTGTTAAATGAGGAATCACTGTATAGATATATATGCTAGTCTATCATGCGCTTTCGTGAACAAAACCCACTTCAGCCCATGACTGCTCATTTTAGAGATACATCAGGGCCTGATGAAATGTATCGTAGAATACTCAAAGAGCTGATAGAGGCGGTATCTGACCCTCTAGCTATCACCTTTGGAAAAACATGGGAGACAGGAGAGATTCCAGAAAAGGGAGTGACTTGAGCGTAGGGATTTCCCTGTGCGGGTTGGCCCCGGGGTTTGGCCTGGGGAGGCACCTGTGGGGGTTTGGCCCCGCTGCAAGAGAGGCGGCTTGGCCCCGGGGAAGGCGCCCACAGGGTTTGGCCGCACCGTGGGAGAGGGGGTTTGGCCCCAGGGCAGGCACGCGTGGGGTTTCCCTGTGCCGCAGGGGGTGGGGGAGTCAGGCCTGGAGGAGGCATGTGCTGGCTTCCCTCTGGGGAGGGAGAATCCTGGGAGGAGGCAGATGCAGGGGACTCTCTGTTGCCACTGGCACCCTGCCCCCTGTCCGCACTCCTCGCTCCCCAGACCCCACTCCCCTGTATCCAGCTACAGAACTCTGTCCCCTGTCCCCACTGGCACCCTGTCCCCTGCTGCAGAACCCTGTCCTCTGCCCTCCCAGCACCCTGTTCCCTTTCCCCTGGCCCCCAGCCGCAGAACTCTGTCCCCACAAAACGAATAATTATAAATGCTTCATTTTAGATTTAAATAGCATAAATAAAAAACAGACCATTTATTTCATAACTATAAACACATTTTAATTTTATATATCGCATAATTTAAAAATAAACTGTTTATCAGAGTGTGTAAGTAAGGGATAGGGATAGCAAGTGATGGACAGGAGGAGAATAGAGAGGGCAGGGCTTCAAAGAAGGGGCAGGGGGGACTGGACTCGATGACCTCTCGAGGTCCCTTCCAGTGCTAGTATTCTTATTATATCTAGATATAGTATTTAATGTGTCACAGGACTAACGGTTGTTTTTAAGGTATGTTGATGTTTACTGTTGCATTTTTATGATCTAAATTGTTTAGACAATTAAATATTGGTATGAAAACTACTTCATTCTGATGGAGACCCTGAATTTAGTCTAAGAACTTTGTTCTAGGCCAGGGATTCTGAAGTTTATTGCAGTGCAACCCCTTTCTGACAAGAAATTATTACATGACCGGGGGTGGGGTTGGAGCCGAAACACCACTGCCCTGAACCCCACTGAAGACTAAGAACTTCAGCCCAGCCAGGGCCTGTATGATGAGCCCCATAACCCAGGGCTGAAGCTGAAGAGCTTCTTTGTTCCCCGGGTGGTGGGGCTTGGGTTTCAGCCCTGGGTCTCAGTAAGTGTAAGTCGAAATAGGTGACCCCATTAAAATTGGGTTGAGAGTCCTAGTTTGAAAATCACTATTCTAAAACTGTAAATGTACTTCTAGTTTTAAATTACTTTGAGGTAAGACCAAATCCATTCTAATTGGACTTTGTTTTGTCATCAGGCCGAGGTGGTAAGAAAGGTGCAGTTGAATGCTGTCCCAACTGCAGAGGTACAGGCATGCAAATACGAATTCACCAGATAGGACCAGGAATGGTTCAGCAAATCCAGTCTGTGTGCATGGAATGCCAAGGACATGGGGAGCGTATCAGTCCTAAGGACAGGTGTAAAAGCTGTATTGGAAGGAAGATTGTTCGAGAGAAGAAGATTCTAGAAGTTCATATTGATAAAGGTAATGCCTTCCAAGGGAACTTAGTTGGGTTTTTGAAAACCTCTACTATAGTATGAGTCGCGTATTGACTACTGGGTATGCAAACAATAGATTGATCCACGGTAAAGAGAATAATTGACAAAGTACAGTAAAACTTCATTGGTCTGGCGAACCTGATAGGCAGAGCAGCTCTGCCTCGGGCCTCCTGGAGTCAGCCGCTGATCAGTATCTGCCCCAGGCGTCCCCAAGAGCAGCTGGGGTGCTGCCAGGTTGGTCTCGCCATGCCGAGGGTCTGTGCTACTCGACCAACCTGGCAGCACTCCAGCTGTTCTGCTCTAGGCGTCCCCGATTCAGCCTCTGCTGGTCAGTTTCAGCAGCGGCTGAATCAGGGACGCCTTGGGCAGACCCGGACTATCGGAAGGGGGGGCTATGAAGGGTCTGCGGTGCCATCCCCCCACACCACCCTAGACCCCTCATAGCCCCTTCTTCCAATAGTCTGGCATATTTGATAATCCAGCACCCCCTGGGTCCTAAAGGTGCCGGATTATCGGAAGTTTACTGTAATATCCTAGAATACTGACATTACATTTTTCAGATAGGATTGCCTCATTTTAAAAAATGTGTTGGAATTGGAAAGTTCAGAAAAGGACAACAAACATTTACAGAGATGGAATGGACGTTATCCTGAACTAGAATTGGATGCAGGATAACTAAGCTGAGCCTGTCAGAAGTTCAGTGAGCTGCTGTAGCCCAGATGCCTTTAATGCAAAGTTCTGGAAATGCAGGTGGTTAGTTGTGTACTGCTTTCAGGAGGAAAAATAGGTGTAATATCAGAACATTCCAATTCCAGCTGTTCTGTAGCGCAAATTAGTGCCTTCTAAAGTGGTGCTATTTTGCTATTGCAGTTCCTATTTAAATTCTAGTTGCATGATGTCTTTGTTATAGGAATGAAGGATGGTCAGAAGATAACATTCCATGGAGAAGGGGATCAAGAACCAGGACTAGAGCCAGGAGACATCATTATTGTATTGGATCAAAAAGACCATTCTACATTTACAAGGTAAAGATCTAGATGAAAATCCTACACTTGTTTGCTTGAGTTGTTTGTCTCTCCAAAAGCTTTATGCTTTTACAACAGTGGTCTGCAAATGGAGGTGGGTGCAGGCAGTGGGTTTGGGGGAGAGAATACCACCCAGCTCCATTCCCCCATCCTGGCTGCTGCTGCTTCTCTGCTGTGTCCACTGAGCAGTAAGTGGGGGTGGAGTAGCAGACACTCAATTAGTGGGGAGGCATGACAAAAGTGTAGGCGGCTCTGCTTTAGAGTCTCTAAATATCTGCAGAAATGCTGGAGATACATGAAGGTTTAACTGGTAAGGCTGAAGCTGCTCTAGCACAGCATCCACGGGGGGGACGGGACAGTAGAACAGCTTCTATTTGCCACCCCCCTTAATTGGTTTACTAATTATAGTGTTTTACTGGTAGCCAACAGGATTTTACAAATCTAAGAAATACTTGTGCAGTTGCTTTGCAAATTTAAGATTTCTCCAAGTGACTTCTAGACAAAACCTACTAAGTGAAATCATAGAGTGGGTAGCTGGGAGTAGGCTATTACAAAATCAAAGTTGGCACCACAAATTTGCATGAATGTTTAGCTCGTGCCTTCATGCTGACTTGCTGCAAATTTCTCGAGGTTCTCAAATACCAGACTGCTCCCGTTATGTCTGTTCAAGCTGCTGCTTTCAGGCAGTTGCCTTGCTAATTTTGGTTTCAGGAAAGATAAAACTCAAGTTCAGGATTGAGTCTTTGTTCATGTGAATCCTTCTTATTTTGGTTATGCTTCTCAAACATACAGGATAGATGGCTCTTACCAAAATTATCGGAAGTGGTGCCAATGTACTCCATGTCTTTGTTTCCATTTTCTAAATATGAGCACTGACTGGTTGGGTCCCCTTGGAGACTGTCACCTGATGTGCTGAGCCACCCACTGAGCCTTCTTCCTGATAGTGCCCAGCTGTCTTGCTGAGCTTGGCTGTCCAGCTTGCTTTCTGGTGGAGCAGCTCCTGGGGGAACACCTAATTGGAAAGATTTCTGGCTGCAAAAAGGACGGTTAGTGCCTGACAAGTAGGAACTCTACCTTAAGGGCTCCCGTTCTTCAGCCACTTAGTCAGTTGTCCTTTTTCTTAGTCATTAGTGCCAGCTGGACACACAACACACTATGGAATTAAGTCACTCTGGTACTGGCAGAATTCAGTGGGTCCGTCTCCCTTATACTGGATCTGGTACTCATTCCAGAGTCTTTACTCTACTGGTTGATCTTATTGATCTTTTACCCTGGCACTAATCCCTGTACTGAGGCCACCAAAAATTCCTCACCATCGAGGTCACTTACCCCAGACTAGATTTGCTCTGCCTCTTTGCTCTTCCCCTGCACACTTTATTTAAATCCTCCTTCAAACAGCCATCCCCCTCCATGCAAGGATTCCTGAGAGAGAGCGCGCCATTTACAGCTCACCCTCAATCACTCCCAACTTCTGGGTTTAACTCAGACTCCAAACCCAACCAGAATAGGCTGACCTCTTTGGTCATTGATACTGTTTGTCTGGTCCCTTCAGCTTTCCACCCTGGCTTTATTGGACACTCAAGAGTTGTTGTTTTTCTTGCAAATGACCCCTTCCCGGTTGGGTCCCTTAGTCCCTCAAAGCAGAGCTCCAAAGGCACTGCAAGAAAACAAAGTGGATGCCAAGGCTCAGGTGAAAGGATAGAAAGAATCCTTTCAATCCATAGGATATGCCTCTAAATCCTTTTCAGCTGACTGAGATTGTCCTCTTTCACATGGAATTACATGATAGTTTTACAGCATAATCAGATGGGTTTGCTCACTGTTGCTTCAACTACAGATGTCAGTGGCCAAGCCGTAAATGTCTTTAGGTATCCTGCTTGACAATCCCCCACAGTAACATGAGATCCGTCACTTCAGAGGCTACTAATAGCTGGAATGCTGTTCCAAGGAGCCCTGGATAGAGCCAAGTGAAACTTCTTAGATAACTAGTTAGTTTGCTGATAATACACATTTCTGGTCATCTTGAAAGTATTGACCAATCTGACGAATCACTCAGCACAATTCACCAATTAGCTGACGAACTGCTTTGTTCGGGTATTAAGGCCTACTAAATTCAGGGAACTCCATCAGTATATCTGAGGTACTGTTAGTCCCCCTGAACTGAGCCTGTTCCTTTTGCAATTACGTGCTGTGACTAGATCAATCCAATCTTGGGAGTTCTGCAGTCTGTCTAGATGTAGCTAGGATTCCTCAGGTGTTCTTCCTATATATTTGAGAGCTGACATTCAATTTACTGAGCTTGCAATAACTGATTTAGGAATTCTCCATGTGGATCTTGTGTCCCACCTTCCTTCCCAGCTCCTTCAGAGAACATTTCTGCTTTCACATTTGGGATTGTCCAGGGAACTAGGTGGTTGAGGTTGCTGTAGCCACTACCCCTTCCCTCTAGTGTGGAAGTATAAGGACAAAGGGTGTGTGGGTGCAGCCCCAGCAGATGCTTAGCCAGAAGATTCTGATCTCATGGTCTTGAGGTACATGCGCACACAGTAGGATATACAGACAAAGGTAGCTAAAGCAGGTTCTGAAAGAAAACTAAATTCAAGTGGAACAAAGAGTAGCCATGGCTGTTCTCTAATTACAGAGCATGTTCAAATCTTGTATGGCTCTTTAACAGTTAAGCCAGTTGTGGCACCAGGCGCTCCTATTTTGGTTGGACAGACAATAGGAGCAGATGTAATCTAATCACTCCCATTAAGTTCCAGTAGGGTTGATGGAGTCTGGTTAAAGTCTCAAATATTAAGGATGTAAAAAAAGTTAAAGAAAAAGGTTAACGCAACTGAAAATCCTAGAAGTTACATGTGCCATGGGCTCTACAATATAAGACTTATACTGTAGGGCCTGCAGCACAGGGCAGCAGCCAGTTCCTCAAGGGCAGGGCAAGGGTGAGGAGTAACAAACAGATAAGATGATGCTTATCCATTAACCGTTTAAATGGTTATACTCTTACATTCTTATTAGGTAATAGCTTCTGTATAATCTCTGTGGGGAGGAAGGGGGTGGACAAACTTCCAGAATAAAATTGGATTTCTTCAGACATGCACTAGCAGTTCTAGTGTTAACAAAGCTGTTTTTTCAGAATCTTGAGCTCTTTTGCATTATCTATTCAAATATACACTGTTCTGTTGTAGACGAGGCGAAGATTTGTTCATGTGCATGGACATACAGCTGGTTGAGGCACTGTGTGGCTTTCAGAAACCTATTGCAACATTGGATAACCGAACTATAATTATCACTTCTCATCCTGGTAAGTGTTTAGTAAAATACAGATTGCACCTTCCTAAACCGGGACTCTCTCACCCAGCAATGCTGCTGAATGAGAGCGCACTGGGACAGAAGGGCTAGCGGCTGAAAGCCCTGGGCAAGGCAGGGTTGGTGGTAGCAGGGCCTGGCAGCAGCTGCAGCCCAGCATTGGTAATGAGGCTGTGGTAGTGGAGCCAAAGCCGCAGCAATCCAGCTGGAGCAGCCCAATTAGGGCTGCATTCCAGCCCTGCATTGGGGACCAGAGGCATGGCAGTCTGGTACGCGGTAAGGGTAGGCTGCAGCAACCCAACTGGGGCTGCATACTGCTGTGCCGACTGGAGCAGCAGTTATGGCAGTGGGGCTGAAGGAGCCAGAGGTGGAACCTTCCCTGGTCCAGCAAATTCCCTCATCCCTGAACACTCAGTCCCTGATGGTGCCAGACCAGGGAGGTCCAACCTGTACTATTAATTTTCTAGCTTTACTAGTATCTTTGGGAGTTCTACAGTTAATGTAAATGTCCCTTTGGTCTTTGTTACATAAGAGTAATTGGGTTTGAACACAATTCAGACCCAAATTAATTTGCAGATACGTTAGTCTTATACTGTACTGTGACAGCTCTTTGTATAAAGATTTAGTTTTGACTAGTACATCCTGATGGATGGAAAGATTGGACTAATAACTCAAAGCAACAATGTATATGTTACATAATGATGCAACTGTCATGATTACCTCCACTCTGGTACAGCAGCAGCTGAGACCCTATCAGTGCACAACAGTTTAACTGGATTAGATATGTGGGAATTTGAAGGTCCTGACTCTTGGGCTCAGAATTAATGGAATTTTGTTCATGTGACTGAACAGACTATCTCATATATGCAGTGGTGGTGTAGCTGTGTTCATTCCAGGTTAGAGACAAGATGCATCAGTGTTTTGTTGGATCAACTTCTGTTGGTGAGAAGCTCTTGAGCTAAATTGAGCTCTTCAAGTCTGTGAAATAAACTGTGTCACAACTAAATTAGCTCCACACAAGTAGTTAGCATATATCCTATGGTGTAGTGACCCATTAACTATAGGGGGGGGGAAAGGGGCTTATTGGGTTAGATTGTTGTAATCCATAAATTCAGTGCGTAACTGATCCATGATATTCAGTGTGAGCAGTGTTATGAATAAATTCCCAAGCTCATTTTGTGCAGGCTTCCTTTCCAAATACTGATTGAGGATCAGAATGATCACTTTGTTCCCCCCATAGGTGATGGTGTTTTTTGTCTTCATCAGTTGCCTGTGAGTACAACAGTTGCTTGGGTTCATCCACATAGGTGTCATGCACTTGACTGAAGTTCACTACATTTCATAGGCATGTGTAGGATCCATAAATTTTGAAAGGCATGTTAAGTGTGTCAAGTCATTGTAGCAGAGATGTCTGCATTCTATGCATTTGTTCTGGGAGTTTGGGACTGGTTTGATTGGTGTTTTGGTCTGTGGGAAGCTTGCCTTCTGATGAGCTTGGAGTAGTTAGGGTTGTTTGAAACCTGGAAGTGGAGGTGGGGTGGAAATACTTTCAGAATGGGGATCACCCCATGTGGGTTTGAGAGGTGGTGGATTACAGCTAGAGGTCTGGGGTCAGGAGTTTTATGTCTGTATTGAAGCAGATTCTTTGGCCCCCAGAGCATATTCTGTAGCTTTCTAGGAGCTTAATGTCTTAATGGGTCTATTTTGTGTGTGTGTTTAGCCATTAGACAACAAATTTATGGCTTATTACCACAGTGTAATCTTTGACCCCTTTTTGTCCTGAGGGATGTTAACTATAGGGATGTTAACAGGCCACAAAGGGTCCCTTGCAACGTGTGCACCCTTTAACCTTCTATTTAGCTGTGACTCTAGAGCCTTGACTCCACTTAAATTTTTTTTGCCAAAAGGCAGTTTGTGACTAGTCTTCAATTTCAGCAAAAAAATAAAACCACCTTGATGACAGCCATAAAACTTTTGTGGCAAACTTAAAGCGACAAAGCATTGGTGTGTACATGCTGCTATTCATTGTTGCCAGAACTAGCCTCCCCCAGTATTCCACAGTGCCTGCTCTCTGTTTTGTACTCTGATGCTCTTCAGACATGCAACCCTGCCTTTTCTAAGCTCCTAGGAATTGACAGCTGATACTGTGGTCAGGCAACAAAGAATACATACTAACATGGAATGCTGCTGTCTCCCACAGAGGCAGGGAGAGGCATGTGCGTGAGGGGGAGAGATTATGTGCTGTGTAGTCAGGAGGGATGCAGGAGCTAATGTAGGGAGGAAGTCGCTTCCCCTGACTTGTTGCTTCTGACAGCTGTCTGATCTTGACCGAACGTAGACACTTTCCCCTTGCCCATTCAGTTAAAAAGTGGATGGCAATCTAAGAGCCCATAGAACAATGGCATTGAGAAATCATTATGTAATGCTTCTACCCCAAGAGCGGCGAGGGGTCCTGTGGCACCTTATAGACTAACTGAAGTGTGGGAGCATAAGCTTTCGTGGGCAAAGACATGCATCTGACAAAGTGGGTCTTTGCTCACGAAAGCTTATGCTCCTACACTGCTTTTGCAGATTCAGACTAACATGGCTACCCCTCTGATACTCTACCCCAAGAGGCATTGCATACCTTTCCCAAAGTACTCTGTGGCTAGCTGCACAGAGGTACAGTTACGTACTGTGCATTGCTCTGTTAGATGCAAGAGCTGCTGGTGTGGATGCACAGAACATAGTGTGGACATGCAGTATAAGTTTTAAGTGCTTTAATTAAAATGGCATAAATTTTGGCAGCAAAACACAACAACCCAGACAGTCTTGGGTACCTTTCCCTGACCTGAAAAACGGTCTTGAAAGCTGCTCTCACCAACAGATGATGACTGGGGTAATATTTTTTAACTAGATTATCTTTTCCTCACATTATATAGCCTTTTAAAACTACTTCTGGGTAGAGGAGAATTGGCATTCTTACAGGCAAGTTATTTTTAGCAGGCTTAATGAAGTGGGAACAAACCCTTAAAATGGGTTAGGGAAGAAAATGTGTCAGGTCTCTGGATGAGTATGGCTTCATGAATGTTAATCTAGAAAGCATGGTATAAAAGGGAGATCACATACTTGTACCAATTAACAGCTTGTTTTCTGTGCCTGGCTTTTTGCTTTAGGTCAGATTGTCAAGCATGGAGATATTAAATGTGTGCTGAATGAGGGAATGCCAATTTATCGCAGACCGTATGAAAAAGGGCGTCTGATCATTGAGTTCAAGGTAAAGTTCAATCACTATATAAACAGCTCAGCACTGAACATGCTGGAAACCTGTCAGGTCACAGTTGATTTCTATTTCTAATGGGAGCAAGAATAGTGAGGCCCTCAGTCTTCTCTGTTTCTGCATTCAGTTCCTCACAAGGCTATGTAGATTAAGCCAGTACACAAGCTTACACTGATGAGAATAAAGCTGAAGTAGACATTCTAAAAACTAACTGCCTCAAACAGTATGGAGAGCATCTTAAACGTGGAGTTCTTTGCAATCCACTTTATTGGAAGTGTCCCCTTTTATGCAAACCTGGTGGAAGTAGGAGAGGTTAGACAACAGTAAAAATGCATTCTACTTGCTAGTGAGTTCTAGGAGTTGCAGATGCTTGGTAAGAGCAAGGCAGCACACCCCCTCTGAACAGATAGGTTCTGTGTAGTAGAGAAGACTGTATAAAGGTCATTCATGGAAGTTCTATTGTTTTTTTTTCCAGGTAAACTTCCCAGAGTGTGGTTTCCTCTCCTCTGATAAGTTGTCTCTATTGGAAAAATTGCTGCCTGCAAGGGAAGAAGTGGAAGAAACTGAAGAAATGGATCAGGTAGAGCTGGTAGACTTTGATCCATCTCAGGAAAGAAGACAGCATTACAATGGTGAAGCCTATGAAGATGATGAGCATCACCCCAGAGGGGGTGTTCAGTGTCAGACATCTTAAAATGGCCAGTAAATACTCATTGTGATAATTGTTTTGTATGCATTAGTGGTGAGTGAAGAACTACAAGCAGCTTACACTCACTACTTGCTATTTTTGGTTTAATATTCAACCATAGTTGTGTTTTTTAAAACCAGTTAATAAAATCAATAATATAAAAACACTGACTTTGCAATTGATGTAAAGTTCAGGTTGCAAGCTTAGTTGAAATGGACCATGAAGTTGGCTACCCCTGGTTGCTTGTCTTGATTTCAGGCCTTGTAATTCTTGTATTTTGTGTGCAAATGCACTGGCTTAGATTAAGACTGAGTTGTGGTCTTTTAGATTATATACCCTGTTAATGAAGTATACCCAAGTATTTATTTATAATTCATGTGAAGATCAATTAAAGTTTTTGTTCTAATCAGACTAGAATATAACCTGTGACTTTTTCAGCCTTATACTGCTATTTGTCAATACCTCACTGAGAAGGATGCTGTCAATCTTCCCATGCCCATTTAACTCCTAGCAGATGCACCAGCTCCCTCAGCCTGCTTGGATTTGAGATTTTACTGGTCTTTTACCTGCCAACTTCATTCCTTAGTGACCCAGTAGTGAATTTATCAGGAAGCTTTGCTTTTAATATGGGAAATTTGTCAGGCATTAGTGAACACCAGGGTGTCACATGCTGCATTCACTAGCATGTCTAGTTATTTGTGGGAAAGGTGAGCAGAAAAGCTTAGCTTGCTATCCCAATTCCCTAAAGTATTCTCCCTACTTATGTGTGAAACTTAATCTTCAACCTGATGCATTATGCTGCTATTTCAAACTGTCAGTACTAGGCGTGAAGGTAGAAAATGCATTGTAGTATACAGAGAATAATCATATATATAGTAGCCCAGTGTCTGAGTCTGTAATGCTGAAATACTCCCTCTGGGGGGGCGCTGTTGCCTGAAATGCTGGCTGTTCCCTGAATCATGTCCTTCTCCTCATGCTGTGGCTCTCAGCTGACTTCTGTGCTGCTCAGCCAGGTGGCTGTGGGGGAGCCGGGGAAGAAGAGAAAGAGAGAGACGGAGAGAGAGGCAGAAGGCAGAGGGAGAGAGGGAGAGACACAGAAACCGGAGGTTCAGGAGAGAAGATCGACGTGGAGGAGAGACCTGAAAATCCTGTCTTATGATGGGTTAATTGGCTAGTTAATAGATGACCAATTGAGAGTTCGTATCAAAGATCACTGCACATAATATTTAATTCTTGAAAGACTATCTGTTCCAGTTACTGTAAGCAAAACTTTTCTAGTTACAAAACTGTTCAGTGGTTCCTAAGATTTTTGTAGAATGTTAGTCTAATCTCAGGCTGCTTTATTGGAAGGGGTGGGTTGGTGGACCAACTTTGGTGGAAGAAACTCTTAATAAATATCCTGGGCTACATAAAGCTATTGTGTGTGGTGTCCATGGAAAATACTACCTTAAAACTCTTGCCACTGCAGATTCCTTCCATGCTAGTAAAGTGAGCAGTGTAACTCTGGAGCGAGAATGCATTGTAGCCCAATAGCGCAAAGCTGCTTGAGGAAGGTTTCACTTCAGATGGTTCAGCATCTAGCAGAAAAAAAATGCATTTCAACTATTTGTATAGTTACTCTTGTAGGAGTGTATTAAATTCAGCAAGAGTTTGTGTGGAGTTGGACTATAAACCTATCCTATAACCTGGAGAAAATGTACTTTATTCAGGTGAATCTAAAGGTTAATAATTTGCTTCAGGATCTTGTAAGATAGTGTAGTTGATCACTTGTTGGTTTACCCATATTTCATCTTAACTTTTCCTTATCAGAAGGCATTAAAGTGCTACGACAGGATCTTGTTAGTCTTTAAAGTGCTACATTGTCCTGCATTTTGCTTCAACTACCCCAGACTAACACGGCTACTTTGCTATTGAGTATTGTAGTTTAAAAATTAATCTCAACCTTTTTGGCTTGGGACAAAAGTTTAGGAGCCTGGAGACTTCTCACCCAATCTTTCTCCCAAAATTTCCTTTGTCACCTTGGTTAATTGCTTTCTTCTGCTTTGCCCAAGTATATAGCATAAAAGTTGGTTTTATAACATTCCTTGAGCTCCTTTAGGACTTGACCGGTAAATGTTTAAAATTGAAGTACATGTTTCTCCTCAGTGATTTTTAAAAAAGGGGGAGGGTGGTTTTTTTGTTCCTGATCTCTAGGTTAGTTGCCCAGATTTTCTGCTTAATATGCAAAAGGAACAGCTTAGGTAGGTTCTGTCTGTCTTTTGCATCACTAGCAATACAATTCTACAAGCAAAATTCCAGCTATAATCACAGTTGCCTCACTACATGTTCTTTATCCAGAACTTGAGTAGGCATCCACTCCACATTGAGAATGTGAATTCTCTAGGTGATAGCAGTGATGGAGATGCATCTCCAACCTGTGTGGGGGGTGGCAGTTCAACTAGTAAAAATATATCTGACTACGCAGGAAGTTTACAAAGTCACTAATTTAGTCACTTCTAGCTCATCACTATATTTTGAGAACTAGCTCATGGTAGTTACCTATGTTCCCTCTAATCTCTTCCATCTGCTTGTGCTGCCTCTCTGCCTTACCGGTAACTAATATTTCACATATGCACATACCATGAACTTAATAGTTCTTACCTTATTCTTTGCATTTTTTACTATAGTTTCACTGAGCGGGTGTCAGTGGCCCATGTGCCTGCTTGAGTTTATATTGTTGTAGACCAGTGTTTCCCAAATGGAAGGGTTCTGAGAGAATTCCATTACAATAACATTTTGATTGAAAAAAGTAAGCATTTATGAACTCTATTGAAAACAATTCATTTGTTTGCCATAAGTGTCCTTGTGCAATGCCATCTTAGGCGGAGAGTAGGAGAAGATGTCACTACTCAGCACTGATGGTCCCCATGAGTAGACTTATTAGGGGTTTAGCAAAATTCTTTTGTTTAAAAGGGGTCTGTGACCAAATAAAATTGGACAGCAGTTGTAGACTATACTCACCATTAGTTCAAAATTCACTCCTTGGCTATGTCTAGATTGGCCAGATTTTGCGCAAAAATCTTGCCAGCTGTCTAAACTGGCCATAAGTTCTTGTGCTAGAACACTGACAATCTCATGTAAGATCGTCAGTGTCCTTGAGCAAGAACTATGACGCTCTCGCTCAGGGATAAGCGTCCTTGAGCAAGAACTATGATGCTCTCGCTCAGGGATAAGTGGCTCTTGCACAAGGGTTCTTGCACAAGAGGCCAGTGTAGACAGCTCTTGTGCAAGAAAGCCCTGATGTGCAAAATGGCAACTAGTGTAGACAGCTCTTGTGCAAGAAAGCCCCGATGCGCAAAATGGCAGTTGGGGTTTTCTTGCGCAAGACAGCATCTATACTGGCATGGGATGCTCTCGTGCAAAATCACAGCTTTTGCTTAAAGGTACCTGCCTGTCTAGATGCTCTTGAGCAAATGTTTAATGGAAAAAGTTTTCTGTTTAAAAGCATATGCACAAGATTGTGCCACTCTAGACGCAGCCCCTGTGCTGGGCATTTATCAATAGTGAATTACATAAGCTGGCCTAGAGCCCATTCATCTAGCTTGGGGAGCATTTACACAAAGCCTATTATATCACACCGTAATCTTTTGATGAACACTTGTCTACACTCTTACTTAAGGATCAAAAATTGGGTGAGATTTTTACTCGCCCTATGACACTGTAGTTCGAGTAGCTATTTACAAGAGACTTGCAAAGACAAAGTCATCTCAGCTAGTTTTGTATGCACTTAGGTGTAACTTGTTCAAAGAATTCCAGCAGTTACAGTGGGGCACAATTTTCCAGTAGGATAGCATTTAATCACCCCACAAGGCTACCTCTACACTGCAGGCTTCTTATGCAAGGATTGTTTGGTGCAAGTGTGTCCACACTGCTCAAAGCGCATTGCAGAAGTCCACGCTGGCAGGATGCTCTTGCACAAATACCTCCCCCTGGAACCACTTCGGCCAGGGCCAAAGGGCACAAGTACCTTTCTGCGGGTGGGAGATGGAGTCCCTCTGAGACGCGTGCTTAAAGGGATTTCCCTGGACAGCTGTTTCTCTGCTGTTGTGTGCTTCAGGATCTCTGGTAGGGACTGAAAGCTAGTTGTGGTTGCCCTCAGCCTCTGGACACCACAGCTTGTGCCCTAGTGCCTTTTTGGAGAATTGTCATGTCTTGCTGTGCCATGGAGCCTGGGATGGCCCCACAGCCATTTTGGAGTGCCTGCAGTTGCTCTTGCTACTCCTGCATGAGCTTGATGCCGAGCTCACTCTGGACTCCCTCTCCCTGGATGTGGCGACTTCATTGTGGCATCCCCACCCGACGGTGGAGAGGCATTACTGGAGACTCCACAGCAGTTCCAACTGGTAGGATCGACTAGTCCTGGAGCAATGGGACAGCCAGCCAGCAGTGGCTCCAGAACTTCAGAATATAGAAGCAGACATTCCTGAAGCTGTGCGCTTGGCTTGCCCCTGTGCTCCTCAGACAATGCCCAGCTGCGGCCCACCATTCCCCTGAACAAGAGGGTCGCGATTGCCCTGTGGAAGTTGGCCATCCCAGACATAAGAACGGCCGTACTGGGTCAGACCAAAGGTCCATCTAGCCCAGTATCCTGTCTGCTGACAGTGGCCAGCACCAGGTGCCCCAGAGGGGGTGGACCGAAGACAATGATCAAGTGACTTGTCTCCTGCCATCCCTCTCCAGCCTCTGACAAACAGAGGCCAGGGACACCATTTCTGTCCCCTGGCTAATAGCCTTTTATGGACCTAACCTCCATGAAATTATCTAGCTTCTCTTTAAACT